GCCGCCTGCCTGTCCCACTCGCACACAAGCAGCGGGAAGAGCTCGACAAAGCTGCAGGAAGTAGGAATGTGAGCTGGAAACCACATCCCAGCCAACAGCCTGAACAACTCTGACCATCGTGTGGGGCTCAGCACAGGGGGGGGGCGCAGAGCGAAAAATCCCAAATTCTGCAGAGCCCCCGAGGCCAAGGGGACAGGGTCAGGGCTGGGTCTGTCTGCCCAGGCAGGAGGGAAGGATCCCGTCGCAGCGGGGCAGGGGCTGGGCATTACTCAGCCCGGGAGGCCATGGCTCTGCACAGCACTTCGGGGCAACTACATGGGGCAGAGGGGGAACCTCTTCCTGTAGGACAACAGCTTTTCATGGCTCTAGAAAGAGAAGGGAGCAGATCTGTGTCAGCACAACATCCTACTCCAAGCACGGAAAGAAAAAATTGTATAAGGACCAAAAAAAGCCAAGTTTTAGAAGTCTAAAAGTACTTAGGGAGGGCACAAAGGAGAGACAAGACCCAGACCTACCTCCCACGTCCAAGTCCACTTTATAGTTGATGGAATGGGTGTGTATCGTACCCAGCGTGTGCTCCCAAACCCTATTGCCGTATCTCAGACCATCCCCGTGGAAGAAGGACCATACCCCGTGGCCTGGACCTTGCCTTCAATAGCCCCGTTCTGGTAGAAGATGAAGTCCCACATGTAGTCATGGTTGCCCACGGTGGCAATGGACCGAATGATCAGAGCAGAGTTGACCAGCCCCCTGTAGTAGAGCGACTCCAAGTTGGAGTAGTGGCGCCTCAGAGGAGAGCCCAGGTTCTGCTCAAAGACACAGAGCGAAGCCTTTCTCTTGCTGGGGCTCAGGCTCTCAGACAGAACATGTGTGTCGACGTAGGTGGCTGAGTATGGGCAGTCGACCCCTCGCACCAAGGGGGAGGTGTAGCGCCCAATGCCAAAGCTCCCGTCCATGTACCTCGTTGACATCCCTCCGGGGCAGTTGGAGCCATACACTGACAAAGCCTCTTGGACACTGATTTCATAGGCAACCCTCTCCCCCCGATGTCGGACATCAAACAGGCGCAGGCCCGTCTTCACGCTCATCCCAAAGGCAAAGCTCCAGGCCTGGAAGAGGACGTGGTTGTTCCTGACGCTGTAGCGAGGACCCTGGGGCTCGTACTGCAAAGGGAACAGCGCAGCTGAAGGTGCTCGGGGCTTCATGGACGAGAAGTCCCCATCCCACGGCACTTTCCTCACCTTCTCCACGCTGATGCGACCCTGCACGTAGGCGCTCTCCAGCTGAACCGTGTCCCTGTAGTACTGCCCGTTGTAGAAGACTCTGCTCACCACCCACTGGGAGACGTCCAGGCTGCTGTGATCCACCAGCACCTCCAGCCCCATCGGGTGCACGAAGAACCCGCTCACGTTCTGTAACACGATGAACCAGGACTTACGGTCTCCAGACTGGAACCCACGAGGGGCCGTGGTCTGAAACACCATGTTGGTGCCGTCGTACTCAAACACTTCTTTCAGGAAGGTCGGGGCTGCAGCAAATGCCATCGTCTCCAAGAACACTCCCACCTGCTCACGTTCACTGCCCAGCATTGGTCTGCGGTGGTACGGCACCTTCCCCCCGTACTTCTGCACCGTGACGTCCCGGTGATACAGCGGCGTCGGCAGCGGGCCCACCACGTACTCCGTGACATTGGGGTCCGGCTGGTTCCCAAAGTACAGCACGGCCAGCGCCTCCCGGGGGGGGCGAGCCCCCCCACTGTCCCCGAACCCCCGCACCCCCCCC